CTAAACCTTAAACAAGCATTGTAAAAGAACATCAATGATAACTCAAGGTATGAATTTTCTTTAACTTCACCAATGTCTAAAAAATAGATTCAATTAACACCACAGTGAACAAATAGGTAAATAGTCTCTTCTTTGAGAGCAAGCATTTCAAAGCTTATTCATATCTAGAATAATCAGATTTACAGCATTTTATAATTAGAAGGATTATTTATAAAATCACTTATTCTAATCATCTTGATCTATAGGTTAAAAAGGCAGATGAAGTGATTTTCACACATCTAGTAAACAGTGAACAAAAAAGCCTAGAAAAGCAACTTAAGCAGGTCAAGATTTTCTTACTACATATGATAAGGTATGTATCTTGGTTATGTATAGAACTAAGCCTAGTTCATGAGAAATAAGGTTCTCAACTAAGAATCAACAGAAGATGTCAATTTCTGCTTTCAGTCACAAGACTAACCATAAATTTTCTCCACTGAAAAACAAACCCCGTAAGATCCCACACTATGGCCTTATCCTATAACTAAGATTAAAATGGACAAACTTATGGACAATTATTCCCTGAGAGATCTGGAAACTTCCACACATAATCTATTTTGGTTAAGTAGTATGAATACTGCTGTTAATAAAAATATACAATGGAAAAAAATATAAGAAGTAGTACTATTAGACATTTTTTTAAAACAAACTAAATTTTATTACCATTATCAAAATGTTTCATTTACTCAATCCTTTGTCTTTTAGACTCACAAAAATTGCCAATATCTCTAATCTAACTTTTCTAAGTACATAAATTTTTTATTTGTAATGGGATTCCATTCTACAACTGAGTTTCTATTTCTACCTACAATACATGAGGAATCCCTAGTTTTAAGTGAAAATCTTCTTTGCCCAGATTAGTCTTACTATGCATAAGGCATCTCAATGGGGTGACTTGTGAAAGTGAAGAAATTACAATGTATACAAATGTAGGCATTATCCTGAAAGAGAAAGAATGGTAACCATTTCTGGTTCCACTAAGTCATTTTCTTTATGAAGGCAATATGGTGCAAATTATACTACACTACATTTAAAATAATTAAGGTGGTAAATTTGTATGTTTTTAACCACAATATATTTTTTAATTATCTTCCACTGATCAATGGATAAATAAAATGTAGCTTAGTAATATTCATGCAAGAGAATATTACTAAGCTTTAAAAAGGAAAACAAATTCTGCTACAAGATACAAAATGGATGAATCTTGGAAGATTTTATGCTAAGTGGAATGAGACAGACACAAAAGAATAAATGAGGTGATAAAATCTTAGGAGAAAGAAAGTAGCATGATGGTTATCATTGCTCAGATGAATGGAGAATGGGGAGTTATAGTTTAATGGGTAATAATTATATTCAAGTTTTACTTGGATATAATTTTAAAAAGTTCTGGAAATGAGTAGTTGTGATAGACTGCACAATAATGTGAAATATATTTTAAGTCAAAAATACATATATACTGTCAAAAATGGCTGAAGGATAAATTTTACATAATGTATATTTTATCATAATAAAAAAAGATTATTACCTTGAAGGTCTCCAATCATCTCTGAATCATGACCTCTGTCTCTCCGTTCAGCTTCTAACACAGCTTGCAGTTGGTAATAATCTTTATCTGTTTGTGATTTTGAATTCTCCAAAATTCTATTTCTCTCTTGCAATTCTCTATTCAGAGACTCAAGTTGACTAATTGATTTGCTCATCTCTGTGTGATTCTTTCTTAATCTTACAGCCGTATCTGATTCTGTCCTAAGTAAATCATTGGCTTCTTCTAGCTATTTACAAAAGAGAACAAAAAAAATAGGTTTCTGACCAAAATACACTAATTTTAATTACAATTTTTAAAACCTCATTCCAAAAACTTACCTGCTTTTGTAGTTGTGCCAACTTCTCATTAGCAAGTTGTGAATTCTGGCTTACTTTTTTTAAATCTTCCAACTGATCCTTTAATGTAGAAACTAGAAAATTAAGGAGTAAGACACAGTAATCAGAAAGGTTTCATAGGGAATCATACAATTCCCTTTAAAAACTGAATTCAGTCTTAGGTCAAAATAGTCACTTAGGTTCATTTCCAAAGCCAAATTTCATCTTGGAAGTACTGACATTTAAATTTATCAACAAGGAGAGCATTATTTTATAAAAAAGAATGCAAAGACAGATTTGTTTCCACTGTTGTAGTACTTCAAGTTTTTTTACTCCCTTAATAAGTTTACTCTATTACTTAAATAGTGTAACACTACTGTTAGTATTATTTACTTTTGAGCAATACAAATCTTTAGGAAAAAAAATAAACAAATTCAAAATACCAACAGTACCAAATGGTTTTTTTCTTACCTCATCTGTCAGTTCCTTTGAGCTCCCTCCCCAGCAAAAACTAGTCTCTTGCACATCATTCCCAAAATACTGGGCACCATACTTTAATATATATAAATACCTACACACACATATACTACATATATGTATATTATATATGTGATTTAAAATGCATATTTATAATTCAGCCTAAACAGACACATATTTAAGCACATATAAACAACATTCTTTATAGACAAACCATCTGTGGATTTTTTTGTTGTTTTCTTTTTTCATTTAAAGCTACATCTTACACATCAACATATAGAGATGCTTTATTATTTTATAAGTTTAACAGTAGACTACCATAGAGCTATACCAAAATTTTTTATCATTATGTTTACCTTGCTTTTTTAATTTTTGTCACTTCAAGCAAAGCTACAACGAATAACCTTGTTTATACATCAGTATGCATGTACAAAGGTAAATATGTAAAATACATTCCTAGAAGTACAATCACTGAATCAAAGGATGTAGAAAATTATCTCTAATGTTTTTACATATTAGCATTAAAAAACAAAAACTTCTAGGTTAGTTTTCAAATGCTGTCTGTTAGAACTTCCCAGAGAACTTAGCAAAAATACAGAATTTAGGCATCAGTATTCTTTACAACTTTCCAATAGTTCCCAATATGTACACGTACATTAAAAACATTATTTTAGTTAAAATATTACTACTGACTTCAAATTGTCATAAATTTTCAGGGGGACTTGGGTATTTAGCTCATAGAGTGTCTGAGGGTTGTGGTTTCAAAAGTCTATCATACACCCTAAATTTAAGATTAACTCATGGCAAAGACTTGAAGCAAAGCATAGTGTTAGGCAGAAATTCCGAAACAGGTATCAAGAGGTAGTAAGTTACCTTCATTTTCCACATTCCTCCTCTTCTCATTTTCCTGTTCTGCTTTTCTTTGGTACTCATTAATTCTATGCTGTAGCAACATTTTCTCCTTCTCAATCTGTGATACTGTAGATTCCAGATTTCTTCTCTGATTTCCCTAAAATTGCAACAAAAATATCAAAGGAATTGGCCCTCCCTGGTGCGCAGCGGGTTAAAGCACAGCACTAAGAAGCTAAAGCCACTTCTGCATGAGTTCGATTTCCGCCTTCCGTGGAGGTGACCATATGGCTTGGCAGACCTCTCCTGACCAGCCCGCTGCTCCCCTCAGCAGTGTACTTCATCGAACTGCCTGTTCTGCTCCCCACTCTGTCTCTGGTGAAGTCTCTCGCCACCCCTGAGCCTCTGGCCTGTACCCCAGTTCTGTATGCACAAATAAATAAATCTTAAAAAAATCAAAGGAATTAAAACTTTCTGATTTATTTGAGGCAATATTTAAAAAAAAGATTTATATATGGACCTCATTTTTTAAAAATCTACTTTGACAGTATCTTGTTGCCTCATTTAAAGTCATTATTATTAGAGTGACATTTTTGCTCTCTTTGGTCTCTATTCTTTCTCCATTTTCTCTTTCTTGTTACTTGGGTTATGGAATATAGTTTAGAAGTCCATTTTTATTAACCTTTAGTAATTTTGAGTTTATCCTTTTGCAAAATGTTTTGACATCTGCTCTAGGAGTTCTACATGATATATAACGTGGTTTGCCATAATCTACTGGTGTTGGCATCTTATCAGTTCAACCAAAACATAAATGCTTACCTCTGTCTGTGTTTATGAACCTATTATAATTACTCTGAATATCATTTCTGTAAACATGGAAACACATTAAGCAGTTATAATTTATATCAACTATATGAAAAACTGAAGTATAAAGGTATTTTATTTTAGTCTCTTGCTCCCTCTTCTTTCCTAGTACTTCAATATTCCAACTTTTATAAATTCCTGTCTATTTAAGAGACTATCTTTTACCAATACTCTTAGGGTGAGGTTGCTAATGACAAAATCTTAGTTTTCCTTCACAGTTCCTTTTTCAGTCCTTGAATCATGTATCACTTACTTCTCTCCTGCATGGTTTCTGCTATCATTTATACTATTTTTCCCATCTAGGTATCTTTTGCCATATTTAAGATTTCTTGTTTGATGTTAGTTTTCACAAGTCTGGCTTGCACATAATTCTGGCTTTACTCTTTACTGTGGTCCACCACATTCTTACAGGTCTATGTCTTTTGTTTGTAGGTTCATGCTTTCCCCAAATTTATGGAATTTTCAGTCTTACTGTCCTCTTTCAGTAATTCCAATGACACAAATATTAGAACATTATTGCTGTAGTCCACAGTCCCCTTAGATGCTGTCATTTCACTGCTATTCAGATGGGGAAATTTCACTATTCTACTTCAAGTTCTCTGCATCTTTGGTCAATATTTGTCCTTCTGTTAAGTCCTTCATTCAGAGTTTCATTTCAATTACTGTAATTTTGGTAAGTTCTGCTGACATCTATCTTTGGGGAAAAGTTTCCATTACTTTGCTGAGAATTCTAATTTCAATTTTTCATTTGTTTCAAGTATGTTTGTTGTTACTTACTGAACATATATGTGATGTTTCCTTTAAGCCCATTTCAGATCATTTCACATCTGTGTTATCTCAGTGTTAGCTCCTAATTACTGCGTCTTCTCATTCAAGTTGAGAATTCTTCTAATTCTGGTTATGACAAATTATTTGCTATTGCAACCTGGTAATACAGAATGTAACGGTACTCGAGGTCTCATTTAAATGTTCGTTTTGGTGGTTTCTTCTGTTACTGTTCTAGTGGGATTAAGGACTTGCCACCTTATTTCTGCCAGGTAGAGACAGAAATCTAAGCTTTTGTTTGTTTGTTTTAAAGATTTTCTATTTATTTATGCATACAAGATCTGCGGTGTAGGCCAGAAGTGTGGAAGAGCAAGAGGATTCATCAAAGACAGAGTGGGGAGCAGAACAGGCAAAGCCACTGAAATACTGTTCTGGGGAGCAGTGGGTGAAACAGGAGAGGTTTCAGCTCTCTGGCTTAGCAACCTGGGTGGAGATGGAACTCATGCTGTAGCAGCAATAGCTTAACAGCTCTGAGACTTGAACCCCTGAACCACCAAACAGGACTAGAAATGTAGGTTCTGTCCTGTTTATTGACACATAGATCAGGGGAAGTGTATCCACATCATTGTTGGGTTGAAATGGGCAGTGGTGTCTATAAATGTTTACTGCCAACATCATAGGGAGGGGAGGAGGACAACTTGTTATTCCTGGCTATATAACCATCACAAACACTACTACTGTGGGGGCGGGCAGTTTTTATTTCAGTGTTTGAAGTTTGGACTCTCCACTTGGTCTCTTCTGAACCACTCCAGCAGGAAGTGATAGGGTGTCTCATTACTGATGGGTACAAAGATCGACAGAAGAGAGATTCCCCACATGGTACCAATGTCTTGAGAGATGAAGTTCCCCTACTTGGCCATTTCTAAAAAATCATTATATCAGAGAGCTGGAAACCTAGGTTTCCCATTCAGCCTTTGCTAGTAGTAACATGGCTTTATTTGTCACATTGTGTTATCTACAGAAAGCAGTGAATATGTCAAAGTCTTCTGATTTGTTTGTCTGCCCCTCTTTGATCCTTTAATTGAACTGCTTTTCTTTTTTGTGCTTATTAGTATTTCCAGCTAGCTAGCTATTCTAGCATCTGGTCTATAATATATGCCAGAAGAATGAAAACCTGTAATAGTCATTCCAACATTGTTCTTTGGGTTCATGTAGTCTAACTTGTCAGTCTTTTTTCCTCCACCTTTCAGAATCTTTCTATATTTGTTTACTTAATGTCTAGGAGAAATGGAAAAGTCTTTTTATTCCATCTTTCCAGAGGCAGGACAATCCTAATTTTATAATTAAGATCTACCTTTTGAATTCAGAAAACTCAGTAACTACTACAGCTGAATTTTATATTTTAGAACTGAAATAAAAAGTGGAGGCTAGGCAAAAAGGAATTCTTATAATCAAATAAACTGTGGTGGCCAAGTATATACTGATCAGTATACATACATACACACAAAGCTACCAATGAATAAAACATTAGTCAGCGATAGTTACAATTCCTCAAGAAAAAATTGTGTAACTATAGTTACACAATAACCATCAGACAGATTAAATGTAAAAAGCACTAAGGAATTAATCAATGAGAAAAGACTAAAGAGAGAGAGTATCTTTTCAGGGCTTTTTCATAAAGCAGTAGAAAGATATTTATACACTAAAGAACTGAAAATCTATTTCACATTTGTTAACAAAAATCTGAATCATGAACTGTTTTTCCTGTCTTTTCCTGATAATAAAAATTTCAAGTTAAATGACCATGGAAAACATAAATTCTAAAATCAATGTATTATGTTATGTCAGTTCTATTTAAGTTATATCCCTCCCACTCTCATATTTGTTTCTGTTATAGTTCCCAGATATTTCTAATCTCTTGATTCTCTTGCTCCTTCCTCAATTTTCAACTATTAAGATCCACTAAACTGAAATTCAAGTACTAATTTTCATGGTTCTAGAACCAAAGTAAGATTCTACAATAAAACTAAACAAAAAAACGAGAGTATATTCTAATCCTCACCATTTGAACCTGCAGTTCCAAACTGAAGCTAGTGATGCTTCATTATAATTTTTTTGTTCTGTTCTATACATGCTGTAGTCAACCTCAAGACTAAATGTAATTTTCTCAGGAAAAAATTTGTTTTGAAAAAAGGAAAAACTTTCAAAAAGGAAAATTCTGATTAGTAAACAAGTACCTCTTCATCCAACTCCTTCATTATCTTGTCTAGTTTTAAGTTTGAAGTTCTGTAAAAGCAAAGACAAAGTAGATTAGAAATGTTTTATTTTTTCTTATAGAAGGATAAAAGATCATATTCCTTAATATCTGACAGATTTAGAATTCTCAACCATTTTTCATGCTATGAATCCCCTTGGGAGTTGGTAAAACTTGGAATTTTCTCAGAATCATATATTTTAAAGCATAAAATACATAGGATTAAATGAAGCCAACATTAAATCAAAATATACTCTGAAATTTTTATAAAATATCTGATTATGTAAAATATGTTTACTAGTATAACAATTCACAAGGTCTACTGACAGTATTTCCAAGTAGTGATGACCATAAATAACAGGTAACTAAAACAATAAGAATGTATCTGTGATTTTCAACGGTAATAAAAAAATTCACTACTACTAATAATTGTGGAATATTGTCCATGTTGAAAATTGTAGGAAAAGCTAAGTTTAGTTATCAGAGAAAATATTCATTTTTTCTCATCCAAATTCAAGGAGCTCAAGTTTTATCAATGGACTTTTTTGCAGGAAGTATATGAATTTCTTAAGGATCCTTAAACTCTCTCATGTAATACTTGCTACTATAAAAATAATTAGCCATTTTCACTTTAATACAAGATTAAGTGAAGAGAAAGGTGGCAAATTTCAAATAAGATATACTATTTGGAAACTTGGGCAAATTGAAATAAATTGAAAATTTATTAACATATCATAATTCATATATATTGGCTTTAAACATAATTCTGAGCTTCAAATCATATGTTGTATTTTTACATAATGTCCAAAACTAATTTATTTCCCTCTGCTCTCCAAACATGTCCTCAGTACCAATTTGCTTCTGCTCTAGTAGTCTGCCAAGTAAATGACACCATCTGGGAACCACCCTTGACCCATCTTGCTCCCTTATTCCCTGTTTGATGGATAAATACCAGGTGATGCCAAATAAACAGTTTGTTTGAAAAAAATTAATCTGATCCAATTTTTTTATTCCTTAGTTTAATTAACTTCCAATGCATTTTCTATTACCCTTAAGGATAAATACCAAATATCTTAACCTTGTCAAAAACAACATCTTCCAAGAGCCAGACACTGTTAACCTTCCTATCCTTACCTCAGACCTTTCTTTTCATACATTTTCATGTTATCATTAATAACTTTGGCCATTCTTATTTCTTCTGCAAATTGAATCCCCACTACTACCACTTTTACCAGCTATCATTTGCCTCATTTTGATTATATTATCTTTTATGTAGAAACTTCTCAACATCTCTACAATAATATTTATCCACTGTCTTTCCTCATTTCCAAATTTGCATTTAGAAATGCCATTCCAAACTTTGGTATGGGTCATTAATATTCAAGATTTTTTCTAAAAATTGTTTGTATTTATACATTTAACAATTTTATCTATTAGGAATCGTATCCCATGAGAATTTTACTTATTTCCTCTCTCATGATAAGAAAATTACCAATATTCCTAATTCCACTTATTGAATACACAGTCACCAATACAACTGTATATCATTTATTCAACATTATCCCTTAAAAATATAATTATAAGAACTCATTGTCTGCATGTAGTTAACAATTCAGTATTATGCTAGATTACTGAAAATTGTCTTGACCATTCTATATTTTCAAAAATACATATTTATATAAATACAGTCTATAATTTCATAAATACATATTTTTTCATGAATACATATACTTTCATACTGGCTTAGACTTCACTAGGATGAAATTTAATTATGGCACTAGAGAATCAAAATGAAAGTTAGTAAATGTTTGCAGCAAAATTTAATCTTCAACATTTCATCTTTTAGAACGTACCTTATTTAATGTAAACTAATTCACCCACTCAGTGAGAAAATTAAGTGAGACTGAAAAGCAACTGATCAGGTGTTAAGTGATTCATCACTATGGTATTTTAAGAAAAATGACTGCCAGGAGCAAATTAAATTTGTACTTTAAATATTCTGAAGGAAACACATCTGTAACTAATATACTAACATATATAACCTTTCAAATGTAGCCAACATACTCTTTGTTGACTGTACATCAGTAGCAAACTTTACAACTCTTACTTGTATGTCTTTCCAAGTGTTTATATAGAGTACATGCTTGAAAATAAGCAACTGCTATACAAATTTTAAGGTGAAGAACATACAAATATATTCTCACCTGCACTTCTGCTCCATTTCATCTTTTAGCTGCATTTCATTATGTAGCTGTTCCTCAAGTTTATAAATTGTTTTTTGCAAATTTTCCTGCTGTAATTAAAAACACACACACAAAAAACACTTATTCTATTAAGAATATGCATAGAGAATGCAAGACTAGCAAGTTTATGTTACTATTTTATACTTGGGAATTATCTCAGTCCTGTCCTTTCTGTCCAAAATTTTTATATTAACAGCATTTTTTTTGAACACCCACAAATATGTCAGGCACTGTGGTAGGCATTAGTAATACAAAAAAAAAAAATAAAAAGATCTGGTTCCTGTTCTTATGATGTTAATACACAGTGGGGCACAGAGGAATGGGATGATGAAGTAAGCCTACAGCAACCCTAAAGACATATATATATAACATATTCAATTACAACGTGGTAAGTAATAAAATTACACATAAAATGTTTTAAAAAAGAGAAGAGGTCACATCTGATTCTGCCAGGAAGACATGTTTGAGATAAGACTTAAAAGACATTATGTACCAAGCAGAGAAAGCAGAAAAAAATGAACAGATCTAAACATGGAGAGACAAAAGATGATATATTGGGAAATGGAAAGGAATCAAGTATAGGCAGAGCACAGAACTTAACAGAAGAATGAAATCTGAAAAGATGTATGGGACCATAATGCTTGTATACACAAATAGGATTTGGGACATAAATGGATAAGCATCTTAAAAAGGGAAATGACATAGTACTGGCATTTTAAAACCATCACTTCAGTAATAATAAACAGATTATGGAAAAGAAAAATTCTAGACAAGGCAACTAGTTATTACTAGGTTATTGAAACTGTTCAGTTAAAAAGAGTACATAGGTCTGATTAAGGCAGAGGCTGTAGGAATGAAGAGAATATGGATAAATATCAACAAGAAAATAATTTATGATTTAGTAACTGATTAAAGTAAAAAGAGCAGGCATAATAGCGTTGCAAAAGACAGATGAACACAAAAAAAAAACTGCTGTAAAATTATGCAAAGAATTTTGAGTTTAGCTCTAGATGATAATGAGGTGCCTGAAAGATATGCAGGAAGAGAAGTACAGTCAGAGAGAGAAGAGATTCAGGCCACGAGCTCAGAGGAGCAAAGCAGACCAGCACAGTATGTTCATTTGCAGAAAAGTATCAGAAAGTCAAACCAGAACCCTGAAAAACATTTTAAAATTAAAGAGAGAAATGAGGGGAGAAAAAGAGGAAGATGGAAAGAAAGGGGGAAGGAAGACAAAAGAATGGAGGAATAGGTAGAAGAGTAGATGATGAGCTTGCAGAGGACTGAAAATAAAATCCAAAGAAGCAGGAAAGAAAAACAAAGGAAATTATGGGAATGCAAGAATCAGAAAAACTCGAAGTTCTTTTTTCTTATTGAAATAATACTGGCTTATAACATTATATAGGTTTTAGGTATATGGTGTTACAATTCAACATTAGTTCTGTTTGCCCAATTAAAAAAATGTTTGACGTGTCAGTTGAGGAAGGGTTAATCAGTATCAGGTGCACTAAAAAAAAGATATGAATGAAAGTTAATTATTGTACTTGACAACTAAAATTTATTCATTAGCATCTCTGCCAGAAAGCTGTTAAGGAAAGCGTGAAAATTAGTTGGATTTTTACGTAGTTCTCAGTCAGTAAAATGTGACACAAGTATTCTCTTTCCCTGTGATTTTACCAGAGTGAAAAATAAAAGAGCAGCCACTGACAGAAACATCAAGCAATTATTATACTGACGGAAACTTCAAGCAATCACCATAGAAAGATCATTCCTAAGAAAATATGATCCCACTGAAAATAATTTGAAGTTCTAATTTATTTCTAATCCAAGACAAGTAATACAAGAGACAAGAACTGAGATATAGCAGCTCCTTATCATCACCTTCCCTATATCAAAGGTGCTTTAATTTTAGATTTCTGAGTTCCTGTGTCAGCTATATGATTTAGCAAATTGCTCTATTGGTTCATTCCCCTTTATTCCATTTTTCCTTGCTATCACATGTTCTCTTACATTTAAGACTAAATATATCAAAGAAAAAGAATTGTATCAGCATTAAAAAACAATTGCTACCTATTCTACTTCTCAGCTAAAAATATGAAGGATATAGGACACAAAGAGTTCAAAGACTGCACTAGGGGCAGGGCAGTGAGAAGATTCACCAGAGACAGAGTGGGAAGCAGAACAGGCAGATTTACTGAAATACACTGCTGATAGGCGCAGTGGGCAAGATTGGAGAGGTCTGCTGCGCCATCTGGGTCAGTTCCCTGGCTAGGTATCAAACTCATGACACAGTGGCTGGTGGTAGCTTGACTGAGCTGAGAATCAACCCCTGAGCTACTAGAGATGCCATATTTCTGCTGTTCTGAAGAGATTTCCTGGTTAAGCTACAAGGATCTTTTCAAATGTAAGCAGGACTTTTTTAACCTCTGTCTTAGGAACTCAGTAATAGAAAGTACTCATGTCTCTAAAATTACTTAACAATTTATTTTCTTTTTCTTTAAAGATTTATTTATTTATCCACACAAGAACTGGGGTACAGGCCAGAGGTGTGGTGGGTGAGAGGATTCACCAAAAACAGAGTGGGAAGTAGAACAGGCAGATGTACACTGTTGAGGGGAGTAGTAGGCGGGTCAGGAGAGGTCTGAGGCACTATGTAGGTCACCTACCTGGCTAGCTAGGAAATCAAACTCGTACTGCAGTGGCTGTGGATTGCTTCATAATGCTGTACTTTAACCCACTGCGCCACCAGGGAGGGCCCCAACATCTTATTTTTCATTGGTCAGATTAGACAATGTTGACTGTAGATAATGGTTATTATCTATTGCTCCCCACCTCCCCAATCCTTGTCAATGTTGAAGGCACATCCTCTGCCCTTCACTTTAGAATCTGCATACCACATTACCTAAAAACTCTAGTTCTGTGATTTTAAGGTTGGCTTCAGGATGTGGGAGATACCAGCAGGAAACCAGAAGATGTGAGAAATGAAGTGCTTATTCTCACCCACTCTTCTTGCCCGATTCTGGAAATGTTCTATGCTCTATACTCTTCTTGAGTCTATGCTTTCTCTAAGCTGTGTTAACAAAATTTGTTTCTTCCTGTCCTTTCAGACCAGTGACAGAGACTTACCACTGTTGTTAATCAATGGGTAATTTTAGTACCCCTTATTTACTGCTTGGCCATAGCTCTGTTAAATGTCCCTTTCAATAAACTCTCTTCATTTAATGAAACAATACTCTATGTATATAAAAATGGAATATATTGTTTTAAAAAATAATGAAATTTTAATAAATCCTACACGAATGAAACTTGAGACTATTATGCTCAGTAAAATATGCTAGCCACAAAACATCAAATAATTATATGAGGTACCTATAATAATCAAATTCATAGAGACAGAAGGTAGGATAGTGGCTGTTTGGAGGGTGAGTATAATGGAGAATGGGGACAAAGTTATGAAGGTTCTGAAATGGAGTATATTGGTTGCAAAACAATATGTGAGTGCAAACATCACTGACCTATATACTGAGAAATGGGTAGAATGGCAAATTTTGCTATTGTCACACACATAAAACTCTCTTAAATCTTTTGAATGTGAAGAATTCCTATCAAGACCCTTGCTCTGATACACGGGTTGATCAAAATTTTAAAAAAATTAAAATACATACCAAGCTTTTATCCACATTGGCACTACTTCTATTATCATTAGGATTTGCTGAAGATAAATATCTGGGAACAAAACATTTTTAACAATTTTAACATTCATTACTTTAAGTTATTCAATCTTTAATATTTAACAATTAGTAAATAATAAATGCTTGTTTTTTCCTAATCTTACATTAGCTGTTATTTTAATTGAGTATGGCTTCATAATTTTACTTTAGAAACATAATAGAAAAATGATACATAAAACCTCCCTTTAGGTGTGAAGAAGCAAAACCTGGGACTCCAAATCTTACAGAGTTCTTTAAATTCAGTATAAAATTAGAATTATGTATCAGATCATTATGTATAAGATCTTTAGAAGTCTTCATACATTTCATGAGATTATCAAACAGCTCATACTGAAAAGTTCTAATCAAATCTTATTTAAAGCAACTGCTTCTGTACTGCTGTTGCTTCTGCTACTACTATTTCTATCATGCCACAACTATCTCTATTATTCCTACACAACTGTATCACACTACAGTTATCACTTTGGCTAATCAATGGAGCTCTCTCAAAAAGAGATCAAATAGCTATGTAGCATGTTGCACAGCTATTAAGGAGAAACTACTAATGTATATTAAAAGGGAAAAAGAGAAGCTAATCAAGTGTCCTTTAAGTACTTTTAAACAAATAACAGTGTTCTAATTGAAACAAAAATGTTGCTTCCTATGTTATTCTTGGAAAATTATTCAGGTTACTATAGAATCAAGTAATCCAAAGACAGTAACAAGGGTCATGTGGCAGATTGCTAGAGGTCAAGTGACAAATGACAGATCCTAATGTGAGATCTGCATTATATAAAGTAAATAAAAGCAAATACAAAGCCAGTGGAACCGGAGTTTAAAAAGAAAGAAGAACATCTGATCTCTAAGATAATCTTCTAAATTTAAAATGCTATAAACTGAAGTTGATGTTTATCTTCTACAAAGTCAGTAATATAAGGTTCTTTGAATGCAAAGCTGAAATGTAAGGAAACCACCTGAACAAAATAACATCCAGCATACTTACCTACGATTACTATAATATGTAAATCCTACAAAAGGTAATTGATTGCCAACAAAAGCTTTAGGTATAGGGAAGGTTTCTTCATCTCCTTTATCTTCTTCCAAGTCATCAAAGTTACTTGTATCAATGTCACTGCTTAAATCTGGAACAACTGGTGCTACAGCTAAATACAGAAATAATATTAGTTCACTTTAAATTTGATATAAAGCAAAGCAAAGATTCCATACAAATTACTATTGGTTTTTCATACAGAAATAACTTGTCACCCAAATTTCTAATGGGCTGGATCCCACTATAATGAGTTTTATTAAGATTATCAATCAACTGATATTGATCAGTATGTAATTCTATGAAATAATTGCCCTTAAGATAATTTATAATTATCATCTATACCTCAATTTTAATTTAAATATTACAAGTCAAGTATTTTAAGGTTTTAGGATATACCTTAGTATAAAATATGAAAACAAAAAAGAGTTTTCAGAAGCCATATACAAACTGCACTTAAAAATCTACTAGTTTCAAATACATCATTTTATTCACATTAGCTCTACAAAAAACTAGCAAAGGTGGTTATGAGTGTTCTAGATACAATTAATAACTTGGTACCAAACTGTTTTTACTCATCTAAAATATAGATGATGACCACATTACCCCTGAGGATAATATTAAGTCAAGAGGAGCAAAGTATTTTGAATTGTACTTTTAGGAAAGTTACCTCCTCCGAACCTATAATTAAGGAACAATTTATTTAAGTATCTGTGAAATGGTTGGGAAAAGAGGACAGGGATACTAAACATGGCCAAGAAATCAAGAGTTATAAACTTGATGGGAAGCAAGGCTCATATATACTAAATATAAAGCAATATATGCAATGTAAATCTTCATTAACACAGAAATAAATACTACAGAAAACTAAAATATATTCTAAAAGTACATTTTTTGAAAATGCTTTTAAAAGCACAAGTAACATAAAAGAACACAAAAAAATAGAATTACTTTATGTACAGTCATCTCATTCATCTTTAGAGAGAAGATAAAGATGAGCAAACAAAAATAAACACCTGATTTCAAAGTCTTATGTAGTAGAATCATATTCTTATTGAATCATCTGGGTATTTCAGGCAAAAAAAAATAATTAATGTTAATAATTTTAGAAACAGTGAACTATTTGACAGGAATGAAACAACATTCAACCCAAAGTATTAAAAACAGTGAAAGAAAAGGACTTTTCCACCATTCTCTTATCTTAATGGCCTAGAGAATGGCCTGACTAAACAATTTTAGTTTTCTTGTAATAAATGTCTAACTTGAAGGAAATATACATAAAAGGGCATCTTCTTGGGAGAAGCATAAACATCAATTACTTTTTTGGCATATATTTTACAGTAAATCTCAAAATTCAGTACCCTTTCATGATTAAAAAGAAAGCCTCACTCAGTCAATAAAGACTATAGAATTTGCTCAACGTTATAAATCCTAAAATTAATGTTCCCGGACTCTCCCTGATGGCACAACATGTGAAAGCACCACATTATGAAGCTCTCTGAAGCCACTGCAGCATGAGTTCAATTCCCCACAAGGGAGCTGACCTACAAGGTGTGACAGACCTCTCCTGACCCACCCGCTGCTCCCCTCATCAGTGTATATCAGTAGATCTGCCTATTCTGCAACCCACTGTCTCAGGTGAATCCTCTCACCCCACACTTCTGGCCTATACCCCAGTTCTGTAAGCATAAATAAATCTTAAAAACAAAAATTAATGTACCCTAGGCAATATTTGACAACGCTTGGGTGTATTTTTGGTTATTACAGATGGGGAAAATGTTCTAATGGCATCTAGTGGATAGAAAACAGAATACTGCTAAACATCCTCAACATTCAGAGAAAACTACACACAGAGTAAAAAACAGATTTACCTACCAAGGGTCAAGATTGAGAAATGCTGAATTAAAATTGTATGCAAGAAAGATTTTAAAAAGCAGCAGACCTAGTTTGGATGCATTTTCTTTTATACCTCAGATGAATTTAGCCTTTTTATTATATATGACATGCTATTAAAGAATAGTTTTTGGTTTTTTCAATTGAAGTATTTTTAAACTTTAACTCTGTAAAACTTGGGTAACATTAGGAATACCACTAGTAATATCATTAGTATTACCACTTTAGTGAACCCACCACCTAATCACCCATAGTCCATGATCATAGTCCATTGTGCCTCCTTCCTTCTTTGTTCTTGCACACCCCTCACCCTTCTGTAAGCTTCAGTCCTATAGTTAGCTTTCAAGGGTTACTTTTTTTTTTTTTAAGATTTATTTATTTATTTGTACAGAACTGGGGTACAGGCCAGAGATGCGGAGGGTGAGAGGATTCACCCGGGACAGAGTGGGGAGCAGAACAGGCAGATCGACAAAGTAAGTACACTGCTGAGGGGAGCAGCGGGCGGGCCAGGAGAGGTCTGCCGCGCCATGTGGTCACCTCCGGGGCAGGCGGGATCGAACTCATGAGGAAGTGGCTTAAGCTTCTTTGTGCTGTGCTTTAACCCACTGCTCCACCAGGGAGGGCCTCAAGGGTTACTTTTTAAGCTTCATCGGATCCTTAGTTTGGTTCCTCTATATTTCATATATAAGTGACACCATCCAGTATTTACCTTTCTCTTTCTGACTTACTTCACTTAGTATTAGCCCTTTTACTCCACATTTATGACCCCAATTACCATGAGTTTATCCTTTTTGACGGCTGAATAATATCCCATTGTGTTTATATGTCATGTCTTCTTGATCAAATCATCTGTTTTAGGGCCTAAAGCTTTTGACATAACTTGGCTATTATACGTCTTGATGTAACTCTGACTTTGTTTAGACAACTCAGGGCTCCTTTAGTTTCCTAGATATATACATTTACTCCCTTCTCTAGGTTTGGGAAGTCTTCCTCCATTATTTCTTGAAATACATTTTATGTTCCTTTCTCTCATCACTCTCTGGTATTCCTATCCATCTTTTGTTGCCTATACACATAGTGTCAGATAATTCTTCAAAGTGTTTCTTCATTTTTTTACTTTGTTTCTCTTTCTTTTCCTACAGTGTTGCTTGTTCATTTATATCTTCAATTACACTGACCTGTGCTTCCATTTGATCTGTTCTAATTCTGTGACTTTCTCCTAAAATTTTCATCACTCTCTTTATATCCTGAATCTATACTATAATCTTATTGAGAGTTTTATTTCCATCTTCTGCTTTTCTTTTACACCAATGGACATTTGTTTTCTGTTTTTTTAATGTTCTTCCATGTCTTTGAAATTTGGTTTAATGCGTATAGAGATTTAGTTTTGGATAATGGAAAAGGTCTGGAGACAAGATGATGGTGACTGCACAACCTTGTGAGGTGCTTAATGCACTGAAGCTGTACATTTTAAAATGGTTAATTTTAAGTTACATATATATTTAAACTATATACTTTATCACAATAAAAGTGGTAACATTTTTTTACCAAAACAAATCCACTCTTCTGGACTTGTCAGCAAATTTAAATCCTTGAGGGGTACAATATCACACAGATTCTTTGTCCCATGGCCTTAGTTGGAAGGTTGCTTTGGAATTTCCCCAGAACCATACCACTGTTTGCAGGGGCATGTAACTTTCCCCAGATTACTCTAGTTTTATTGGGTTGCCACCAGGAGTCACTGTGTTGTTCTTTGCTTTGTATACATAAACGTATCTCTTGCCTGGACATAATTCCATTTTATCTTGAGCATAAACACCTTCAGTTTTAAGAAGAGCTGTATGCTCCCTCTGGTTCCAGAGACCCCACTTGTAGCCAGCAAAAATGGCCTTGACCATAGCCTTCCAGCCATGGTTTAGAAGTCCTGTTTCCAACAGGCTTCCACAGGGAACCAAGAAAATGGAATGAGCAAAAATGGTAACTTTTTTCAGTTTTTTTTCTTACACGAATATAATAAAATGCTGAGAAAGTCTAAATGACTCTAAATCTCTGAAATTTGCTAGTCCCTAAATTCTTCTTTTTTAGTTGCACCTTACATGACTGAGTTGAAAGCTCATACTCTTTCTATCCCAACACTCTTTCTTCTCTAGTTTAGCCCCCAGAGGGTTCCTTTACAGGAAAAAGTCTCCAATCCAAATTGGCATTATCTTTCAAAGTGAAAAATTCATACGCACTTTGAATCACTCTTCTAGGAGTGAGTCCTCAAGATACACTTATACATGTACACAAAGTGTTCACTGCAAAAAAAAAAAAAAAAAAAAAAAAGTACCCGATGTCCTCATTTAAAATAGTGGGAAAAGCCCTATCTTTCTACAAGGGATTGAATCTATTAACAGAATTAACATGCACTTGTAGGAAAGGACCAGTGAGCCCTTAGCTGGACGGGAAGCATGGAAACTCTTTAAGATACAGAGTTAAGGGAGGAAATAACACTTTGAATATTGTGTATATTTGTATATATTATCTTTTATACATGCATATATATTATCTATGTATTTTGTTGATTTTAAAATTTTTTAATTTATTTTTTATTATTATATTAGTTTATTTTTACATATTTTTGTGCATTTTTCCATCTCAGCTGCAATCCCCTTGGATTTCCCATCACCAAATCACCCATATGCCATCACCATAGTTAGTCCCTAAATTCTTTATCCATGAAGTCTATACTAATCATTTCTCCCACAGGAATGTAAAATTCTAAAAGAGAAACTCTAGACTTAATTAGCACACATAACCCAGAATAGTATATATGTGCCTATAAGTAATTTTGTTTGTTTTTAACTAAACTGAAAATTTACTACATAACCTAATAGTGTAACCAGTATTATCATCTTGTATATTTCTACCAACTATAGGTTGGTAGAGTAGTGGTAATATCTTAGCTCTAGTGAGATCATTTAACATAGTATATAATGTTATTTTATATATTAAATGTTACATTTACTTTGCCCTAAATAAGCTGCCAATAAATGTCAATTTCCTACATTTCTAATCTTTAAATGGTACATGGAATTTCAGAGTATCAACAGTTCTGGTTTTAGAGACTTTGACAGATACACTGACACTCATTTACTAACAGTGTGACCTGCATCAAGTTCTTGTGAAAGATACTTCTCTGAAGAATGGTGTATACAAAAGGCTTTTTATTTCTTCCTCTATATCTTAAATGAGTAGGAAAAGTAATTTCACAATCTTAATACTTTGTGCCTCTAAATTAAGAGTACGAAATTCATGGGAATGTTGCTAAAAAAAAAAAAAACTAGTTTTTACCAGTTCCCACACCAGTAAGAAGCAGAAGATGGTGAAGATTGTCACTGCAATCTGTAGACAGGTAAGTTGTAAAACTATCAAAAGAATGATTATTTCCAAAAAAAATAAGCTACTTTACTGAAGATAACAGGAGAGTCAAAAAACAAAACAAAACAAAAACAAAAACAAAGAATTGTGTTATATAATTTTTTTAACTTAGGTCAGTGAGGTCAATTCACAATAAAAGTATTCTTGGTATTTTAAGGGTGGGAAGTGAAGAAGGGGTAGAAAAGTAAAAGGAAAGAAACGTTCTACAGACTTCATTTTCCTTTTTAATAACAATCTACAAAATAGGAGCTATTCAGATTAAGATAGCAGAATGTTTATAAGGATGCTAAATATAAGCATACTGCAACAAATCCACAGCTAATAATACAGATTTTTAAGGGACAGAAATGACAATAACCTAATAAAATCACCAATTATATTAATTCTTGAAATAAAATTTACTTAATTTACATAAATGTGGTAATTCCTACATTTTCCACAAATGTTATATATAAAGGAGGTATATAGCAATATCAAAAGTTGTCATCGATGTGGACACTCTAATTCTACTAGACTAACAATTCCACAAAACAAAGAGCTTTGGCTGGCTTAATACCTGCTACTTTCCTAGTGTCTGACATAGAAAAATGCTCAGTACAGTGATTAAAAAATATTCGTCTCCCCAATACCATTTTTTCAAAACACAAACAAAAATATACACTCTTTTCTTTTGGAAGTGATTTATTGTGTAGTTACTTTGTTTAGTATTTAGTGTGTAAATTTTATGCATTACTTTGAGAAAAAAATTAGAGCAATATGAGATACTTTATATTTTCTTCAATCCTCTCTTAGATTCCCTTCCGATTAATAATCATATTTGTATGTTTTCAGACTTTTTAAAACTTTACTGAGAGCATAACTTGAATTAAAAAACAAAGCTTTTCATCAGCTCACATCTCTCCCAAGTTTCTCTTACAGCATGAAAATGATATCACAATTACATATAAGGAAAATTTCTTTATTTTCCTTTCTAAAAAATGTTAATAATTTTTTCCAAGGTTAAAATGCTCCTGTCGGCCCTCCCTGGTGGCGCAGCAGGTTAAAGGACAGCACTGAGAATCTAAAGCCACTTCCGCATGAGTTCGATTCCCGCCTGCCCTGGAGATCCACATTGCGTGGCAGACCTCTCCTGACCCGCCTGCTGCTCCCCTCAGCAGTGTAGTTCATCCATCTGTCTGTTCTGTTCCCCACTCTGTTTCTGGTGAAGCCTCTCACCACTCCTGAGCCTCTGGCCTGTACCCCAGTTCTGTATGCACAAATAAATAAATCTTTAAAAAAAAAAGAAAATGCTCCTGTCATTTTTTGTAATGAGATAATCTATTAATTTCCAGAAGAATTTCTTATTTATCCTGTTTCTTTCTCAGTAAATTTTATGGCTTAGTAAAATGAAATTATTATACTTGAAAGCAATATAAAGGTGTTTAAAAAAATGTATGATAGCTGGTCTACTTCACCAATACTGGTAAATCTACATGATTAGTTCTTCAAAGTAAAGAAAACTAGTAAAATATCTCCCCGGGATCAACTATCACTCTTTCTCAACTAGAGAGGGAACTCTTAAGACAAATACCTAATTTCAGAACATCTAGTTTCTAACACTACACAACTCAATTCACTTTCACTGTAACTATTCCTTCCTATTGCTAAAGAACGGGACTCTTGAAGTATCCACTATTCATTTCTGAGGTGTGAAAACGAGAAAATGTTACCAAGATGTCAACAAAGTAAAGAAAAACTTCTGGCCTCCCAAATCCATAAAGATGATGAGAACTTTCAGTGTCATTATATTTTTGAGTCAGGTGTGTTAAATAAGGTTTTCCAGAAAAATATTTTACAATGTTAGTGCTTTTAAATAGGGAAACGTTCTTACTGAAAATTAAATTTTTACATACTGCCTATTCTTATTTCTGAACTATAAGCTTCAAACCTGATGGAATCAAATATATCATCATTACCTAGGTCCTGATACAAATTAAATTCTGATACTGATAAACAGAACCTCCTTATGTTTTAGGTTTTGGGAAAAACAAAATAACTTTTCAAAAGAATTATATTTTAATTTCTCCACAATCTCTCTCCATAATGAGATACTAAAGTCTAAAAGAGCAATTCAACATAAAACAAATATCAAATTATGGCTGTTGAGCTCAAATGCATTACATGTGTTTACTATTTCATCTTAGTATCTTGAGTGGAACATAAGAGAAGTAACAGTATGGATTTTCAATATTAATAAATATTTCCTCTTTAAGTATAATTTTAAACCAAACAGCATTTTGTATTCTGAATTTTGATTGAATATACAGTAGTCCCCTCTGATTTGTGGGGGACACATTCAAAGAACTTGTGGATATCTGAAAACATAGAGAGCACACAGTCCTACAGTCTGTTTTTTCCCCCTGTATTTAAATACCTATGATAAAGTTTATGAATCAGGCACAGTAAGAGACAATAACTAATAATAAAATGTAACACTCATGACAACATACTGTAATAAAAGTTATGTGAATGTGTTCTCTTTTTCTCTCATTCATACATATTTTTGCATCACAGTTGACCACGGGTAACTGAAACCACAATAAGCAAAATTACAGATGGTGCTCAACTGTATATATTACATATATTACAAGGTTTCAACAGACAATTTACACAAAACTACATTTAAATATTTACTGAAAAACACAGTAAAATATAACTTACTATCTCGGAGTGTTTCCCAAGCCCACTGATCATTTTTGAAGAAGAGATGTCGTTTGATTTCTTCTACACCATTTCTCCCTAACCTCACTTCTCTGAATAGAAAGGGAGAGAAAAAGTTACTGATCATTCAAGGTACTATTATAACCTGACCAGATTTATTTATGGACATAAAAACTCACAGAATGATAAACACAGTTCTGTATCACCTGGTAATTATACTACTTTCAGCATAATTTTCAGCTTAAATAAAAAACAAGTTGAAGACTGATATTATTAAAAATATTTTTAAAATATATAAAATAAATTTGTTGATACTCCATGACTTTTACTTTGACAGTGAAGATTCTGATGAATCACTAACCTTGATCATTAGCATAACAAAACAATACATTTTTGAATTTTTAAACAATAGTAATAAATTTCTTGCAATTAACAATTTTATTTCATACCAGAAGTTAACAAAAACTTCAAAATACTTTAAAATTAAAAATGTATAGGAGCAGAAATTAGCTAGTTATTGCAGTAGAATGTAACTTACAAATATCAACTCATTATGTTGTATACCTGTCACTTTATCCGCAGTGAGAAAGGATTTTAGGCAAATAATATAGACAAATATGGTTTGTGAATTCTGGTCCCACATGTCCTTCAATACAAACATTCATATACAAATAAACCCCATTTAATAAGTTTTACTATTTTATACTCTATTATTTTTGATGAATTAAAAACTCAATGACAACTAACTCAACATGACAAAATCAAGAGCTTTAAAGGAAAAAGTTACTGATCCCTCTCCTCTTCAGGGTACATGGAGATAAAACATCTAAAAATAAAATAAAACATGCCTACAATAGCTGATTTGGAAATAGGAGCTCAAATCATTTGTTCTCTAGTTAAGAGTTTATAAAAAATACTCTGATTTCTTTTTTTTTTTAATGAGTTAAAAGATTAAGCTGCTTAGAGCATAAAATCAGGGGGAAAAACGTAACTCTAATCAAGTAAAAACAAACACCAACTAATAACTATAAACCAGTGACATTCTATGGGGATGACGAGGAACAGAATCAAAACTGGGGTGGGAAGAGCATATGTGACTATGGTGATGGCAAATGGGTGAAGTGGTGGTGGTAAATCCACGGGGATCACAACTGAGATGAAAAAATGTACGAAATGAAAAAATATGAAGATAAGCTGCTTTAGTGTGAGATTTTTTCAAGAAACCTGCACTGATTCTCCCAGAATGGATTAGGTAACCACTCTGTGGTTGTATGGCACACATAACTAAACTCAGAATACTTGTCTCTCAGTATGATAAATATCTGATCTGCTTTCTGTTTCTCCCAAAGGACTATGAGACAGTGGAGAACGCAGGCTATATGTCCTGCTCATTTCTGTATCTCTAGTATCTAAAGCATAGTATATATACATTACATCTGTATAGCCCTTACATTAAAATGTAAATTTGATATATTCATTTCAGACATTGTAAGGACACACTGAAAATTAACGCGAAATTAATTTTAATTAAAATGAGTCTGAAACTAAAACACTTAACAGTATTAATCCTCCCAAACTATTTAAATAAAGAGGTAAGTTTAATATTAAGATTATATTTACCTGTCAGTAAGGAAGGCACAAATAATATTTTTTGCTTCTTTTGATATGTCATTATCATCAGGGAAGGTAAGTGAATTTTTATGATTCATAATCTTACTGTAAGTTCCAACCAGAGAATCAGCATAAAAAGGTGTATCACCTAAAAAATCCACAATACATAAGCAAAGTAAGATAAAGTCTAAAACCTCAGTTTCAAAGGAAAAGAGTAAATGCTATTTGTTTAAAGAACAGTAAATATGGACTAAAGTAAAAGTACACATTTAATAAATAAAAACAAGTAACAACACAAAGTAGATCTAAGCCTCTAAATAGCTTTTGAAAATGCAAAGTAGGTTTAGATTAGTTTACATCCTACAAACAAGATCAGCACTCTCCATGTTATTAGAAGAGCCAAGTGGTTAAGTTTTGGGATGAACAACTACGTTACAGTTATATAAAATCATCTTTTACTCACCTACAAGCATTTCATATAAAAATACCCCAACTGACCACCAGTCACATTCTCGTCCATAATAACCATCACCACCTTGAGATTTTAATACTTCAGGGGAAATATAATCAGGTGTTCCAACTGCAGTATCACATCGTACCATACCTTCCTAATAAGTGGCAGATCAAAATTTGAATTAGGACATTTATTTTTAATTATTTTCTTCTTAATATTACCTGTGTGTCTCTAAATCTTTGGACAAATATACCTAAATCTAATGCAATCTTGCCAAACATTAACAAAAGTTTAGTCATATACACATATTACATATACAATATATTAATTAACTATGTATATGTTATGAAAACATCAGTGATTCTTATTTCATAATAATTAACACTCACTAGAAAGTCATACTACCACCATTTTTTACTGCCCCAGTATGGATAATATCATCATCTCATCTTAATTGCAGAAAACAAGTATGTAAGCCAATGCAAATAGATTGTGTATAAGATACCATTAGTAAATAAATGGTAATTAAGGTTTTGTTGCTAAAACAGTAATTTAATTTACCCATGTTACAAATTTCAAAGAGAACACAGAATTACTGACCATGCAAATTAAAAAATAATATGTGGCCCTCCCTGGTGGCGCAGCGGGTTAAAGCACTGCACTGAGAAGCTAAAGCCACTTCTGCATGAGTTCGATTCCCGCCTGCCCTGGAGGTGACCACATGGCGTGGCAGACCTCTCCTGACCTGCCCACTGCTCCCCTCAGCAGTGTACTTCGTCAATCTGCCTGTTCTGCTCCCCACTCTGTCTCTGGTGAAGCCTCTCGCCACCCCTGAGCCTCTGGCCTGTACCCCAGTTCTCTATGCACAAATAAATAAATCTTTAAAAAATAGTAATAATAATATGTATGGGAAAAAATGTGTTAAGTCCAGTGAATATCTATGTAATATGAGCTTTGTACTCTCCAAAAACAGAAACAAAAGTAATACATCTTTGTTACTTATTGAAGCTGGTATTAATTCAATAGAATTATAATTAAATTTCCACACAAAAGTTCTTCTGTTTCTTTCTAACCAATTAATTTCCTTTTAAAATATAATGCAGGTTCTTGGAGATTATTCTGAAATTGTAATTTTCAAAGAGCATAAACTGTTTCAACTGAATATAAACTATACTTGCTTCTTCAGATAAGTATGTGCTATTAGTTATATAAATAGTACAATAGGGATCTTAATGGTTGACTCCTAAAATAAGTAGCATAATCTTTCACATACTAGTAAGAGTACGTAAAATACTTCAAAAAATTCATAATACTGAAATCCCACTTTTATGAAAGTCTAATTTTAACACTGCTTTTACTATTTATGATATTAATCTAACTAGTACCAATTACCACCAGCATAAATATAAGACAGAGTTGCTACAAAGGATTTAATCCTGCTAACTCACATTTACTCTTAATAGAGAATTTGAAAAAGTTAAGTCATTTTACATATTACTAAGACAACATTGAAGCAATGGCATATCTCAACAAATATAACACGTCACATCAATTCTTTACTAGTTAGGATATGATTAGTAAACTCCTACAGTGTCTTCTAAAAAGCATCTATTGGGCCCTCCATGGTGGCGCAGCGGGTTAAAGCACAGCACTGAGAAGCTAAAGCCACTTCTGCATGAGTTTAATCCCCTCTTGCCCTGGAGGTGACCACATGGGGCGGCAGACCTCTCCTGGCCCGCCCACTGCTCCCCTCAGCAGTGTGTTTCCTTGATCTGTCTGTTCTGCTCCCCACCGTCTTGGGTGAAGCCTCTCACCACCCAGCACCTCTGGCCTATACCCCAGTTCTATATGCATAAATAAATCTTTTAAAAAAAAAAAGCATCTATTGGGAGTTGGAAAAAAATTAAATTAAAATCTAATTATCTGACCTTATTCATCTTCATACAAGTACCAAAATCTGCTAACTTCAAATGTCCAGATTTATCCAGCAGCATATTATCAGGCTTCACATCTCTGAGGAGGGAAAAAAAAAAACAGTAGACTATTTCTGAAACAGATTACACACTAATAAAAATTAGTTGAGGTGGTCATTTTAGGTCATGTATCCTCACTCAATCTAGATAAAGCCACCTTTGAGCTATTTAATGCTCTTTGTCCATATTTATAAATTAAAGATCATCAGGGAAACTCCTTCAGATGTAACTTCAGCAGCAGAAGTCATGTTCTTTTTCCTTTTAAGTACGTCGATTACTCCAGAGGAAAATAAAATAATTTGAGAATAACCACAAAAAATGTAAACATTAAAAGGTAACATAAACACACAAAATAAGTACATGATAACCCCAGGACAGGATTAAGTCATTTTTATATTTGTTTCCCTGGCACTAAGCATAGCAATTGTACACTGGATTCAACTGCTGTTTACAAACAAACAAAATTATTCTTCTAAAGGATAAATGACCTATTCATTTTCACTAATTAAAAAGAAATTAATATATTTCAAATGTTGTATATGAAAAACAAATCAAAAGCAACTTTTTGTATATAAAGTGTAAGTCTGGCACTTTCATTCGCAAACTAGCTTATAATTTTTACTTTTTAGAACATCTGGAAAAAAGCTATATAACAAGCTATACAACCACATTATGGGATATTAAGTAAAAATTCATTTCAGGCCCTCCCTGGTGGCACAGCAGGTTAAAGCACAGCACTAAGACGCTAAAGCCTTCTGCATGAGTTAGATATCCCCGCCTGGCCCAGAGGTGATCCACATGGTACGGCAGACCTCTCCTGACCCATTTACTGCTCCCTTCAGCAGTATACTTCGATGATCTGCCTGTTCTGCTCCCCACTCTGTCTCTGGTGAATCCTCTCACCGCCCCTGC